TGGGTCCACAGTTGTAAGGATGTAATGGTACATATAGTGGAGACGGCCGCAAGCAGAATTGTAGGCAAAATTCGAGTTGTAAGCGAGAAGCTGCCCTGAGAAGGTGAGTTCTAACTGTGAAACTGTACCCTCCTGACATATCGTGCATGTCGGTCATTAGAGAGTATAATGTCCTTGGTGCAACAATGTATGGAACCATAGCAACTCGTGTGCATTGGTGCATGGGAAACAGCGGTTGACGTCCTTCTATTCAGAGTTTTGGGCGTGCCTCAAACCGCCTTCGTGATATTTGCACATTGTTGTCAAGCCAACACTAGCAATTACATAGAGGCCCACAAAAGCCACAGGTGGCATGACAATAGTGATGGTTTTACAGCTAAGAAAGTTGTTGCTCGCTTTCGCAGTCTTGAGAATTAATGCTTTCAAGAGGATTAATATCGCAAAATTTCATTTCTTAGCTGTAAAACCATCAACATTGTCATGCCACCTGTGGGTTTTGTTGTCAGACCGTCGCTAGCAATAACATAGAGGCCCACAAAATCACAGGTGGCAGAACAATGGTGATGGTATTACAGCCAAGTAATGAAATTCTGCGATATTAATCCTCGTACAATGTTTGAGGATTAATTGGAGATATGCGTCACTCACGCACCGTCCCGTAAATTAGCTCACTGGCACGCTCTTAGAGTGGCGTTTTCGAGAACATGAAATGTAGCATAAACATTTCTTTCTCGATTTTGAAAAAAACAAGAGTTAACTACTAGTATGGTGGTGCTGTATGAAATAAGGAAGTTGTTGCTCGCTTTCGCAGTCTGGTCTAATGGCGGGTCCATGTAAAATTGCTCAATAGCGTCATCATGTCAGGGTAATATCATCACACCCATTTTCTTGTTACACATTTTTGTGCTGTCAAATTTCTCCATTTCTTCTTCAATGTCTCCAGAATTTTGTTCTCCAATCTCGTATCCGGTGATTTTTTTCTGAAAGATTTCTGAAACCTTCTCCCCTCCTTTTCATCTCTTGTGTCATTTTTTTTAGTGAGCACCTAGCTTCCGTTAGGGACGTCCCTCGGATAGGACGTTAAATATAGAGGCCCCGTGTTTGGGGAGGGCAGCACCCCACGCACATTAAAGAACCCACCGCACCAAAAAAGGCATCCAGTGCAGTTTTTAATGCTTGGAAACTGAATTTTTCAAAACCAGTATTTTAGTCATTTATTCACATAATGAGTTGAAACCACACTATCCCAATGTATAATGACCCTCATGGAGGAAAAATTCCCAAAGTTCTGATGGAAAATAGTTACTGGAAGGGTCCTTGGCTGATTTTTAGGGTACCACCCAGAAAATAAAAGACTCATCTTGAGGCTTGTTCCTGTAGTTTCAAATGCCCAAAGTATGAAATACTGATTCAAATGTGCTAATGTGAGATAGTATGTGTCAATATCACAAAGACTAATATTCAGGATATTTCAAGTTTTGCTGCCCTGGATGCCTTTAACTGAAGGGTCTTGATCAGAATCCAGTCAAGTACATGAAGAACAAGTAAAATAGTATTGGGCACAGAAGTTACCGCGCTAACATGGCTTACGACATAATAAAAAAATAATGCGATGCGCGTTCATCCGTTTTATAAATCGTCTTACCTTGTCCATGTCCATATCCGATGGTGAAGAGTATGAGCACAAGGCTGCAGAATAGACGCAAACTTGCAGACATTTTCCTCGGCTTCCTTCGGAGTAGATTTTCTCACAAAGGACAATAAGCGTAGATATCACCGACTGCTTGTCTTGTAACTGGATATCCTATTGGTACTAGTATTAATATGGACATGAGGCAGCGAGGGCGAAACCATTGCAACAATGGGTAGGAACATTTTTCATGATACACCAGAACAGAGTTACTGACATTGCTGAAACTTTATGCTGTTTACTACAAAATAGACCTTTGGAAACGAATAATTGTGTCACCTTTTATGAACGCAAATAGAGCTCATCTTTCTGGTGTAAAATCATTTTCACCTCACCCCCCCCCCCCGTTACAATATTAAAGTGACCCAACTGTTGCTGTGTCATGAGTTGGAAAACAGAGGGAGAAAAGGCGACGTGATAACCTTGGTAACCTAGCAACGCGGTAACCTAGCAACGGAGCTTGTTTACCTCTCCGCCTCCTGTTTTTCTTTCTCGCAACTTGCTTAGTGTCTACAATCGAATCACAACTTCTATAGTGTCTGTACTACTTATGAAGGGAAAATTCTGAAGTTATTAATGTTTATAGGTACATGCTGTTGGCTAAAATTCTTCCAAATTGTTTTTTTCTTCGTAGAGCCAACGCCCTAGTACTCTAAAAATATAATACCACGACAAAGCATTCAGGGAGGAGGCTTGAATTATTTATAAGGGCGGCTACACTGAGAGCACAGGTAACAATAGACGGGATTACTTGAAGGCCTTCTAATTTTCCTTGTGACGCAGTATGGTAGAAATTGTATGATTATTTTT